CTCTCTCTCTCTCTCTCTCTCTCTCTCTCTCTCTCTCTCTCTCTCTCTCTCTCTCTCTCTCTCTCTCTCTCTCTCTCTCTCTCTCTCTCTCTCTCTCTCTCTCTCTCTCTCTCTCTCTCTCTCTCTCTCTCTCTCTCTCTCTCTCTCTCTCTCTCTCTCCTCTCTCTCTCTCTCTCTCTCTCTCTCTCTCTCTCTCTCTCTCTCTCTCTCTCTCTCTCTCTCTCTCTCTCTCTCTCTCTCTCTCTCTCTCTCTCTCTCTCTCTCTCTCTCTCTCTCTCTCTCTCTCTCTCTCTCTCTCTCTCTCTCTCTCTCTCTCTCTCTCTCTCTCCATATACCGCGATCTGTCTTCTTTCGTCCTACTTTTATTCCCTTATTCTCCTTTCCAATGATGACGCTATAAAAACAAAAACAAAAAAAAACGACAGATAAGATTGAATGAAGACTCTCCATCAGTACTAGCTCCTGTTATCTTGATCAATTTGACGCGCAGTTTCATCCGCTCCACGAGACATTTAAGAAAATTTTTTTTTCTTAATTTCTCGTGTTATTTGTTTTTTATTTTTATTAATCAATTATTATATACAATAATTATCTTGATGTTAATACTTTGGAATTGAAAATAACCTACAAAATTTATTGGTTAAATCAAATACGTATAGCTAAGAAAAATATGTGACGTGCTCTGCAGAAAGGGACTTAAGGAGGAAAAAATTATAGGTTATGTTAATGATAGTTCGGAGTGAAAATGACATAACCTATAATTTTTTTTGGTCTTTTTCTTTAGAATGTGTTACATATAGTACTGTCAAATCTGTATGACGAAAGGTTGCCATTGTCCTCACTCACTATTTGTCATAATTATCTTTATCTACCGCACCCTGCTCTAGTAAAAATTTAGGTTGGTTTCAATTGTCCCCACTCGCCATTTGTCATAATTCTCGTCAACTACCACACCCTGCTCTAGTAAAATTTTAGTGACTTTCTTGTTAAAATTAAAAGTTACTATAAAGTTACTAAATTTTTGCTGCTAGAGCAGGGTGCGGTAGTTGATGAGAATTATGACAAATGGCGAGTGGGAACTTTAGGGAGTGGGGACAATAGAAACCAACTTTTATATTTCACTATAGAGATTGTGTCACATTTTGCAGGTTCCTCTGTAAAAAAAATTCCAAAATTAATTAACGTAAGTAATTTACGTAAAAAACTCGGAAGTATTTTACAAGCAGTAAACTACATATTTTATATTCCTGAACATGGCTCGTGCATTCAGACGATAGGAATTGTGAATGTACCTTAAACCATGTAAAAATATTAAATTTACATTCCGAACCCTGTTGAACTTGACGCGCGGCAAATATAATTGTTTGAAAATACAAAAATTACGCCTTTAAATATTTCTTTTATTATATTTAAATAAAAAATTAATTTTCGAGTCATTACGAGTAAAAAAATATTTGCTAAACTTATATTTTTTTTGCAAATTAATAATTCTAGATTTTAAACTTAAACTAGTTTCCTTTACACAAAAGTCCAAAAATACATTTAAAAAAACATAATATTTCAAATGAATAATAATTTTGAAATTGTTATTCGACTCGTCTATTTTTATTATTATAATATAGTACGTCTATATTGAAATTTGAAATAGATTATAAGTAGACACAAACTTGAGAAATGAATACCTGTAACGAAAAGTTGGAAGAATGGCAGTCAGTTCTCGTGAAATTAATGAATGACTACGGGGCTTAAGAGGGCGGGCAGAAAAGCAACCGTACAATTTTGAGGGTGAAAACAAGAATTAAATAGTGAACTTCGAGACTACCTGCTGCGCAGTATACCTGACTTCACTCGAAACATCTATAGTTTCAAATAACCTGTTGTATTTTTAATTAACGCATCCTTCAACATATATATATATATATATACAGAAAAAAATTTTGTAAAAAAAATTTACCACTTTAAAGGTATATATATAATAATAGGAAGTGCATTCCTTAAAATTTGCGACAATTTTGTTTTCATTAAGATATTTCTTATAATCTAAACAACAAAATATCTTAATTATTAAGTGACAAGATAAAATTATTTTATTCATTTAATTATTTGCTAATTTTATGCAAATAGTAAATTTTAATTGTAAATTATGGTATTATAGTATTATTATACACTGAGAAAAAAGGTTTGAGCTGACAACCAAATATTTCATTCAATATATGTGCAACTAAAATTTTTTGGTTGACACAACTAAACTTTAGTTGACAACAACCAAAGTTTGTTTCAGACGACTAAATAAGAAAATGAAAAAGAATTTGGTAGTCTCAACCAAACTTTGGTTGATGTCAACTAAAGTTTAGTTGTGTCAACCAAAAAATTTTAGTTGCACATATATTAAATGAAATATTTTGTTGTCAGCTCAAACCTTTTTTTCTCAGTGTATATATGTGATGTGCTTTGAAGTAATTCTAATAGAAGCAAAATATTTATAGGTTATGTTTATGATAGTTTGGAGTAAAAGTACATTAAAATACATTATTAAGTTGGTTTACATTGTCACCACCCTGTTCTAGTGAAAATTTTGTAACTTGATAGTAATTTTTAATTTAAAAAATAAAAACACTAAATTTTCACTAGAGCAGGGCGTGGTAGTTGACGCGAGAATTATGACAAATGTCGAGTGGGTACAATGGAAACCAGAAAGTAGATTAATCTTTTATTGCATATAAATTGCATGTAAATTGCATAACCTCAAAACTTAGACTAGTTCAGTAAACAAAAATGTTGATTTTCTGACTTTTGAACTAGTCTAAAGGCCTGAGCAGAATAGAAACGTAACCGCAATCGTAAACGGAAGAATGAGTTAAAGAAGGATAGTCATATATTGTTGTTCTTCTCTTACTAATTCTTCCGTTTCTTCTATTGTGCTTAGGCCTTAAGTCTTAAGGTTAAGTTCACGACAATAAATCAATTAACCACTGTTTTTTCTTCAAAAATAAAAATAAATTTAATTCTTACAATTTACATGAAATTTAAAAGATATTTACTTTTTATATATCTTTTAGAAAATGAATTTTAAATAATAAATGCCAAAAACTTAGAAATCTTAATTCTGACACCAAGAAGGAATAACAGAGTATAACAAAAATGGGTTTAAATATTACAATGTGAGTTATATTTGTCATTATTTATATGTTAGAAATCAGTATACCAATTTAGCTATATATAGTTTATAGACACTATAACCTTTGCCTGAGTAGATAACGCAGAAGTTTCTGTGAATTTTTCAAACAATTTTTTCCGCGTATTTAAATAAAAATGATAAAATTTCATTTTATTAAAATATCGTGTATAACCTCAAAACTTAGGCTTGTGCTAAGAAACATTTTTGTTTATTGAACGAGTCTAGTCTCTAGTAATCGCGCGCTACCAACAAAATTTTTTATATATTATACTAAGCCCTCCAAAAAAAAATAAATAAAAGAAATATTCATTCGAAAAAATTCAAGATGTCAAATTACAAGTCAAGAAAAGAGCACAAAAGATCAATCACAAAAATGTGTTCCCCCACTCTTCTCTACACTTTCGGAGGATGATGAATTGCCAATCCAATTGTATTTCGAAGGCATGTGCTTACTGAGTCAGCTTTTTGCCAAATTAAATCTGCCACGGGCTCTTGAGATTTGAAAAGATGTTGGTCGAAAAACTATTCCAGGAATGCGGAGGGAGTCCGGTCACGGGGTAATTGTGAGATGTTGGAAAACAGTATTGAACGAGTGCTGTGAAGTAAGGTGTTGCGTGAAGGATCTCTACCATCTATTGATGGTTCACGAGAGAGAGAGAGAGAGAGAGTGTATGTGTGTGCGTGTAGTAGGAGAAAGAATCTTATTGACGATTCCGTGAAGAGTATCATTCTGTAGCGTCAATATAAGATCCGAGGGTGCGGGTTGTTAAGATGAATGGTACAGGTCCATCTTTGGCGTTTTTGGGCATCTCAAGAGGCTCCAGAGGCTGCAACAGACCAGGAGCATTGTGTCCCTGTCACCGGTTGATTGTATGTATTGTCCACGAGGACAATGGCACTGCAGGAGCTTGAAACTTACACCCAACTGATGTAGTCTGAATCGTTACCCTCGACAGCTCTCTCTCTCTATATATATACATACATATATATATATATATACTCTCGAGTCGAAGAATACGACCCCGGCAGGGGTTCATTGCGTCGACTATGTTATCTCGCGCGCCACTCGAAAAACCAAAAAAAAAAAAAAATATTGAAGGCGGACCCCTATGGAGCTTCCAGAAAGTTGCCAACTCTTGATGGACTCTCTTTTTTCGGAACAGTTTCTCGTACCGCGAATTCACATAAAACAATGGGGAAAATATTCTATGTATTTGTGTGCGAAATTCTTTGTATGTGGATGATTCTCCAAGAAAGAGGGTTTATTTTTGTTTCTTTAGTTTATAAAACATTGGTAAAAAATTTTGGAGAATTTTCTTCAGTTCAATGAAATTTATTTAATTCCCTTAGCATATTTAGAAGCTAAAGAATTCTCAAAAAATCTTCACGTGAAGACGAAAAATAGAAAAATTATTCAACCCTGGGATTCAGACCATATTTACTAGAAATCTAGTATACTAGAAATCGTATCCTCGTATGTTTTTAGAGTATAAGCAATATTATTATGTTGCGATAAGTTGGAAATTAAAGATATAGAAAACAGACGAACAGTAAAAAAAGCTTTTTATAGGTTGAAAAGTGGAAGAACAACAATTTGATATTTCTCTTTTTCTCTCTCTCTCTCTCTCTCTCTCTGTATCTATCTCTATCTCTCTTTTTTTCTAAGCCTCGAAGATAATGCGCATTATCGCGCGTCAGTCATTTCCGGTGATTATTATATAGAGGTATGTATCTTCGTCGGATCTTCTTTTGAGTAATGGTTCCTATTGTACGTAATCTTTTAGAATTGTTAGAATTAGAAAGCTTAAAAGTTTGCTCTCACCTCCCAATGACTGAAGACAAGTTGAGGGCTCGCCAATCCGGAAGTCTGGGTCCTTAATTCCGTGGCAAGATCAAAGCTTTCCGGTACAGGTAACGTTGCAAGAACACGAAATTGGCCGCCAAATCCCAAAGCATTTTCAGCTGCTATCACTCGTCCTTGTCTTCTGCCAAAAACTGCATACAATTTACCTATACAAACAAGAAACATTTTTTATTTCATTTATTTATTGTTATTATTATTTATTTTTATTCTTTAAGTTGTATCATTATTGTAATTATTAATAAACAATTTTATTTTTTTTACAGATTGGATGGAGATTGAAAAATTGAATCAATCATCAATTTTTAAAGAAAGTGTAATATAATTGATCACGTATTATCAATTTATTTCTTAAGAAATCATTATTAAAGTAATTTGGTGTCGATAATTCTCACCACTAAACACTAAAAAAGAATTTGTTTGAAATAGACAAATTTTAGTTATATATATATAACATAACGTTTATCTAATTGAATTTTCATTTAAAAATAATTCTATAATTTAATCAAATTTTAATAAAGCAGAATTATTATATAACAAAATTTCGATTCAGCCGAATTTTTAAGTTCTATAATTCATCGAATGTTCATTTATCCTAATTTTTATTTGCACGAATTGTCAATTTATTAAATTTTTTTAAAATGTCCAATTTTTATTTGACAGAAAGATTTCGGTACGAATTTCAAAAATTAATCGTTTTGACAAATGCGAATCTAATGAGAGTGAAATAAAAATTTTGTAATTCTATCAAATTTATGTACGTTTCTGGTATTTAAGAAAAGTCAATTCGTAAAATTCTGCTAAATAAAAATACGATGAAATTTAAATTATTTAAAATAAAAATTCATTTAATTAGAAATTCTTTCAATAAAAAATTCAAAGAAATAGAAATTCGATCTATACTATTTTTATACAAATTATTAGATTTTTTATATGAAACTTGGTAACTAGTTAGGCGAAAAGAATAATAATAATACAAATTATGCAAAATTTAGCAAAGCACTTTAAATTGCAGTGGTATCAAAAATTTGATTACGAAAATCAAGAATAAGTAAATAAATTATAATATTGCTTTGTATTAAATTGAAAAATATTTTAACATGTTTTTTTTTCCTCCTTTGGAAAAAATCAAAATTTTACAATACGTTTCATTCAAGAATTTTTTTTAAACTAGTTAAAAAATTTTAATACAAATTAATTTTTATAATTAAAAGTTTTTACGGTTAAACATTAATTTTTCCCAAAAATGCATACAAAAATTAACATTTTATTTTTTGCACCATTTTGGATTTTGGTCACTTACGGCTTTTTCTCCATATAAATGTATACTTAGTGATTTTCTTGCTTTCTTTTTAATATTTTATTTGTATTTACGTGTAAATCTGTTGAAGAAAAAAACTAATCAACGGAAGTCATTTATATATCACGATCGGCAGATCCTAAAGCAGTTAGTAGGCTTCGTTTGATAGTTTATTCTGTTTGGAATTAATCGCCACGGGCTCATCCTCACTCGAGAGTTTGATCTTGATGTTAATGGCTATCTATATAGCTACATCGAAAAGATCCCTTCCCTGTGTCAGTAAATATATAATGGACACACGAGTGCGGTTCATAAATTTATATAGAGCGATCAAATTTTTGCAACCAGACAAAAAATTATTTTATTTTTTTTATTTTTCCAATGAATTTTATTTAGATGAAAAAAAAATTTTATTTCAAATAAATATCCAGAGAAAAATTTTTTTTTTACTTAATTCAAATATATGTAATTTCAAATTTACACGTTAAAATTATTAAAATACTCGAGAATAAATCATATATAAATTATGAACACATATCAAATTACTCACGAGTAAGTGTATTCTCGTTAAAACAAAGAAATAAGACTATTAATTTAAAATAGCAGTGTAACAAGATTCTAGATTTTCAATTTATTCACATGATTCAATCAGCATTATATATTGTCGAGCCGAAGATTAAAAAAAAAAAAATAATTCTTAGATCGAAATTCTCGGAAAAATAATTAATAACTGACTCAGTAAAATGAATAAAATTGCTTATTCTAATAAAATGACAGGAAGACATCGATGCAGTATTGCGCGGATATAAATTTAAAAATAATATATATATATATATATATATATATATATATATATATATATATATATATATATATATATATATATATGGGGCAAAATTTCTGGAGTGATCCAATAGTAAAAATATAAACATATTGGATTTTTTTGAAGAATCATAACTATTGTATAGTAAGGGTGTAAAAAATTATGACCTTCATGTTTTCGAAAGGTTTTTTCTGCTTTTTTGAAATTAAAATTTACCGTTTTTTTTGAAAACCAAAAATATTTTTGATTTTTTTTTTAAATTTGCACCATTCTAGAAGAAAAAAACATTTTGAAAACTCATAGTTTTTTACACCCTTTTATACAATAGTTTTGATTTTTCAAAAAAATTCACTGTTCACACTTGACAAAAATTTTAATCCTCTTCCCCCTCTACAATTAACTATAATAATTTCCGTATTCATTCATTCATTCCGTCTGTCCACACTTGAAGTTAGTCGTATTTTGTTCCTTTTGATTTTCTAAAATTTTGACAATTCTTGATTTCGTAATATTTTATGGTTAACACGACGGATATTTTTATTCATCGTCATTAATTAAGTCATATACTAAGTGACAGTTTAAAGTAAAAAAAATATTGTTCATTGTGTGCAGCACCAGTATATTTCCTACTTGGTATTTATAGAAAAAAAAGTTTCAATTATAATATAATTTTTATTATTATTTATAAATTTATTATATTATATATACATTTTTTTAAATATAATGATTATTACAGATAATTAGAATATTTTAACTTATAATTATTATTTATCTTTCATTATTTTTTCATCATTCATTATTATTTATTATATATTATTATTCATAAATTTATTATTATTAATTATTAAATTATTATATTTTTTTATCTATAAACAATATAAAAATAGTTTGCTTTTTTAAAAAATTTTCAATTTGATTTTAATTTTTAATTTAAGTTTAAAGTTTAAAATATTACAAATTTTTTTTAGGTTTTATTTTTTCAAAATTTTTAAATATTTTTTAATTGCTTAATACTTTTTAAAATATAATTAATAGTTTTCAGTTAATTTAAACTTCTTTTTGATTACATAATTTTTTAATATTTATTAATTATCAGTTAATTAAATTTTTTGAAAAAAAACATAAATTTAAAATTATCATTTGCAACGAAATATTTATAGAAAATACAAAAAAATATTTAGCATAATTAATTTTTTGTAATTTAAAAGATTATAAAAAATTCATCGAACATTGACTTTATCAAAAATATTTATTTCTAAAATTTTAATATTTATATTTTAAAATTTTTACTTAAATTTATTTATTTATATAACATCAAACTCATTTTTTTCTGTGTATAAATAAATGATAACGTGAAAATTAGAAATATACCTATTATTAATTTAATACTCCACTGATGCAGAATTATTATTATTATTATTATTATTAATATTATTATTATTTTAAAATAACCATTGCAATTCAAGTTGGACGCGCGCTTGCGCGCGTGTAATTTTGCTAGTTTTTGATAAAAATTAATAATAATTTACGAGTAAAGTACTCACTCGTAGTATTAAATTTTATGCAAATTATACCTCGATCTGAGAAATTTTTTTTTCGAATTGGATCACTTCAGAAATTTTGCCTCATATATATATATGTATATAGGTATACTAATCTGATATTTTTGACTTCGTTGCTAGAGTTTCACAAACAGTTCCGGGGACTCCGGAACTTAATGAAATTTAATACAATTACTACACAAATTGACGTATACGCAGGTATCCAGTGTCAATGGGATTCTCAAATAAGCATTCTTCATTTAAAGCCTGCACACTTCCGTTACACACACACACACATATGTATGTAAAAAAAACTTTTCTCACGTTGATATATTTGTTTCCTCTCTTTTTTTTCAACAAAACTTTACACTCAAGTGGATAAAAGTGTCCCTGCTTTTTCAAAAAAAAAAAAAAAAAATTCATGGTTCTATAGAAACTGGAACTCTATACCTTTTATATAGGTTAGGTAACATTCGGAATATTTTAATTTAAATTTCTATTATTTAAAACGATACTAGTAATTATTTAGGTTAAAGAAAAATATTTCTTTAATTTAAAGATAAGCGATCTTTGATTTTAAAATAATTTAATTATTAGTTTTCTCCAACGGAAAAATATACGCACGTATTTGCATGTTACATAGTTTTTCTTTTGCTGGACAATTTTATAGGTCAATTGGATTAATTTTTCTAAACGTTAGATTAAGGTTATAGGCTTAAAGTTTGAGGTTAGGTTAGTTTAATATACGTTATGCTTAATGTTCGCTTGGGTTAGGTACGACTATACTCAGGGTTTGAGGTTATGTTAGGCATACGGTTTGACGCTAGATTAGTAATGATATTAAATCACAAGTTTGGAAAATAGAATTTGAGGTTAGGTTACGTAAAAGGCTTGCTTTAATAAAACGTTTGAAAACGCTATTAAAAATTGTCTTTCATTTCATTGCTATAAGAAAATATTAACAGTATCAAATTAAAAGTTTTAAATACTTTAATAAAATAATTAAATAATTTTTAATGCTATAAAATGATGCAAGGAAAAACTAAATAAATTGTTTGGTGAAAAGATCGTTTGTAGCCATCTCTATAGTAAAGATTGAGTATATATATATATATGTATATAGAACAGAGATGAAATCGAGATCTCTATAGGGATCTCTCTGGGACCGATGCCTGTTGCTAGAAAGATCTTTTCTCGGGTAACGCGTTCGTTTGGCTCTGGTCGCAGCTTCAGGCTTCCGGTCGCGCCCTACGGCACCTGCGCGCACCTGCCCCCTTCTACTCCCCCCTCCCACCCTCCGCCCATCATCAAGAGGGCCCCACACTACCCCTTTGGGCCTCTGCCAGTCTCTCCCCTTTCCTCCTTACCACCTCACCTCATCACCAAAGCACAGACTCCTCTCTTCACCCTCTCTTCAACATTACGCCAACTTTAACAATCTTTTTTTTTCTCTCTTTCTCTCTTTCTCTCTCTTTTTCTCCCGAT